CTTTTAAATTTATGCAAGTCGCAGCAATGATTAACTTCCTGATGGTTTCACTTTAGGAGTTACTGCTTCATTTTTTTTGGGTTTTTTTTTTTTTTTTTTTTTTGTAACTTGTTTTATTTTTGTGGTCCTAGGGATCAAACCCAGGGCTTCTTGTATGCTAGACAAATGCCGTGCCATTGTGCGCACCCCTCCAGCCCCTTTACTAATTTTGTAGCAGTAACTAGGAAAAACTGGCCATGAGGGTACATGCTGATAATCCCAGAGCTCGGGAGACTGAGGCAAGAGGATCACAAGTTCAGTGCCAGCTTAGGCGACCCAGTGAGGTCCTGCCTCAACCCCACCCCACCCCAAAATAACCAGGATAAAAGAAACAAGGCTGACTGGGTATAGTGGCATGTGCCTATAATCCCAGCACTCAGGAGGCTGAGACAGGAGGATGATCAAAAGTTCAAGACCAGACCTGGCTACAAAGTGAACTCAAGGCCAGCCTGAGCTGCATAATTAGACCCTGTCTCGAAAAGAAAAGAAACAAGACCATGCTGGGTTGTGCTGACCCTGCATCTGTATCCCCGGGGTAACCCTGAGCTCAGCCCAGTCTGCCCACTAAGATGCCACTTCTACTCTGGAGCCGCTTTCGGAGCCACAGCCTGTGCAGGCTCTGGGACCGAACTCTGAACTCCAGCTAAAGGGACATCCTGGCGGGAGGCACCCTCAGAGCTCGCCTGGGAAAAGCCAGCCAAGGTCACATGCCTGAAATCCCAAGACTTGGGAGTCTGAGGCAGGAATTTCACTACAAGTTCAAGGCCAGCCTGGACTACATGGCAAGACCTTGTCTCAAAAAAAGAGAGACTGAGACCAGCTGGGGCCCTGCAAGCCCAAGACCTACGGGAAGCTCTTTGCATGGAGGCCAGGGTGGCCTGTGGCCTTGAACTGGATGGACCTGACACGCACGGACGCCCTTTGCTTGAGGGCCTGCCTCTATTTTTCTCTGTGCCTACACCCAAGTGCTGCGCTCCCTTGACCATCCTGTGCCACCCTGTGCTGTGCCTACCACTTGCCCTCTGACAGTGGTACTTTCAGGAGGCCTGGGACCACAGTTCTCTTTCCAGTTACAGACTAGGCTGGGCAGTGCTGCCAGCTGTGGCCTCTCCTGCCAGGCTGCACCTGAGTTCCACCTTGAACAGCTTCTCAGACTTCGTCTCAGCTGTGTGCCTTCTTGGGAGGAGCACCGGACTGGGAGCAGAAGCTGGGGGGTTCTGGTCCCACTTGTCCCTCTGTGGGTCCTCAGCCAAATTGGTTCGGTTCCATGCACCAAGGATTTCTGCCTGCCCTGCCTCAAGCCACCCAGCTGAACTGCCTCGCAGATGCCTGTCCCCTTCCACTCCCAGCTCAGGCGCCTGGCCAGTGGCTGCAGGACTGATCGTTCATAGCCAAGTCTGCATGTGTCTGTCCCTCCCTGAACCCATCACAGATGTCTAGACTCCAGGAGCCAGATAAGTGAGGTGGGTATAGCCCAGTTAGCCCCCAAATTCCAGCCCAGAGTTGGGGGACTCTAAGCTGTTCCTGGCCACCCCTGCTTCCCACCATACCCACCTTCCCTACCACAGCCAGCCCAGGCTCCAAAGGTGAAAGAATGAACCCCTGGGCCTAGACATGCAAAGTCCGGGCACCTCCTGTCCCTGCCAAACCCCTGGCTCTCTCGTGGTCCCAAGCCCCTCTGATCTCAGTTGGCCCTTCTGGGAAATGAGAGGCTGGATATAAATTTCTGTTCCTGGCCTGTGGCCTCCAGAGGAGAAGGAACCTTCGAGAATTCCCACAAAGAAACCCTCACTTCACAGCTGAGGAAGCTGAGGTCCAGTGAGGGAGATGCCTCGTCACCACTGCCTCAGCAGATAGCAGAGGGGATGTTTCTGAGGAAGAAGCAAGAGAGACAGCAGGGCTAGCCAAGGAGCCGGCGCAGTGTCCCCTCGAAAGGGCCCCGGGACTGGAGACCGGCCTCCCCTTCCATCCTATGCGTCACTTCTCACAGACTCTTCCTGTTGATACTGCTTTTGGTTAAAAAGACAAGTTTTCAGCCAAGCCTGGTGGTGCATGCCTGTGACACCAGCGCTCTGAGAGGCTGTGGCAGGAACGTTGCCAGGGAAGCATAATGAGAGCTTCTCAAAAGAGATTAAAAAAGACGGAGCTCAGGAAAGCCCTGGGTTCGGGCCCCAATACTGAAAACAGTTCTTTTTAATTTTAAAAAAGACACGCATTTTATAGACAAGCTGGACAGTTCAAGCTGATAATCAGGCCGGAGTCTGACCGGCATCTGGCAGATCCACAGGCCCCTCCTGGGCCTGCGGGGTGTTGTTCTCCCTCACGATCATTGTTTTACATATGAATACCTGCAGGAAGAATGGGGGGAGAGGACATAAAAAGAATTACCTTGCGTTATGTCCATGTAGCACCCCCAAAATGTCACCGTTATGTCCGGCGTACTAATAAAAATTGGAAAATAGACACATCTTGCTTGTGACATGCAGTAAGCACCTCTGTCTTTGACACCTCCCAATAAGGTTTTCACCATTTGTCAAGTTTTCTACCTGAGCCTCTGACTACATTCAGTTGGGTCTTTGCGATTGGAACTGAGTCACAGAACACCTCCTTCGGAAAACTTTGCGCAAGCCTCTGCTTCTCTGAAGAGGAGTTGCCTGAGCCTTGACCAAGGAGGCCCCTGTTGGAAAGCAGGGGCCATTTCAGGTCTATGGGCTGGGATGGGGCTGTGGGTTCCGCACATTGGAAGAGAGAGCCCCAGAGAGGAGAAGCGTGGCCCAGGTCACAGAGGGCAGTCCGTGGTGGCTGGCGAGGGCAGTCCCAGCAGAAGGCTGCAGGCCCAGGGCCCCTCCTCAGGATGGTGGCATCAGGGAGTGATGGGAGGGCCCACCGCTTGCTCTCATCACTACTGAAAGATCTTTCTCCCAGTCGGCCTCACTTTGCCGTGAGGGACCCATGACAGACTTCAGAAGGACTGCTTGTTGAAGTGGGGACAGGGAAAAGCAATCCCAGGGGCCACATCTGTTCAGTTTCTCTGGGAGGAGGGTCTGGTTTCCCCAGCGTCCCCAAGGTCCCTAGGGCCCGGCAAGTGGGGGCAGGGCGGCCGAAGTCTCGGTTCCTCCTGGAGTTTCCAGCAGGCCCCTTTCATTTCCTGCCTGGCAACTATGGTCCATGGCTCGGGTTGAGGTTGGGGATGCCCGCTGGGAGGTCAGGGAGACCTGACCTTCACTTGTTCCAGCAGGGAGCCTCCCAGCAGGAAAGCCCCCAGCCTGTCTCCTTCGAGATTAAAGGAATGTAGACCTGCAAGACCAGGGCTACGGAAGGTCACCCGCAGGCCTGGGGAGCAGGTGGGGCTGGAGTTCCATAAAGACGACCACCTGAGGCACGGTGACAGTCAGTGAGGACTGGGGAGGACAGAGACGCTGGTGTAGTCGGCGGGGACTCCTGGGGTGTGGGGAACTACGGATCCTCAGAAGTCTGGGCCCCCGGGGGACACTGAGCATCTCCACTTCCCAAGACTGCAGAGAATCTGGGATGCAACCCGGACCAGGATGCTGCGGCGAGTGGGGGACGGTGAAAGTCGACCTGAGCGGCTCCTGCGGTCAGCTCCGCCTTGACCACCAGCAGCTGGGTCCTGGAGCCGAGCGGGCGGGACGGGGTGAGGGGTGGGGCCGGGCGCGAGGTGGAGGAAAGAGGAGGGGCTTGACGAAGGGCGGGGCCAAGGTGCGGTCTTCCCCCTCCTGACCTCTAGGCGGTGCAGGGGTCCCTGTTGAAACGCGCATCCTGCAGGAAGCAGCTAGAACCAGGGGCCCTGGAATGCGGCCGTGGCCCCAACTTAAGGGCGCGGCCGCCCCCCCACGCCTATCCCGGCTCTGATCTTCCGAATTGGAGCCCAGTGAATCTTCAGAATTGGGGCGCTGCGTGCCCTGTCCTGGCTGCTGTCGAGCCACGTCGCGGTGGTCAGTGCAGGTTCCCTCGGCCTGCGGAGGGCCTGATGGGGTGGATTCGGGCTGAAGGAATTATCTGAGACTCCCGAGGCATGGTGCAGGAAGAGGGTGAGCGAGGTTGGCCAAGTCTCAGCTCCCAGCCCCCCAAGGCCGCAGCTCCCTCGCGACCTCAGGAGTCCCGGCGCCCCCTCCCTCCTACGGGCAGCTGGAGGCTGAGTCACGCTGCTCTCAGGAGACAAAGGAAGCCGCGCGCCCTCCCTCCAGACCCGCTCCTGGTGCCGAATTTGCACTAGCGGGGAGTCCATTGTGCCCTTCCCAGAACGTCTGCTAGCAGCTAACCCTCCACGTGGAGGAATGGAAGCAAGTGGGTTTAGGGAACGGGCCCTTCTAGTTAGGGAGTGGCATCTGCTGTCAAATCACCATGCTCTGCTGGGAGGGTCCCAGGAGGCTCCGTGTACCCAGTGCTTCTCTGCCTGGGACCACTGTCCTCTCCCCATAGCCCTGTCATGGAGATGCTGGCCACCCACCTTGCAGATGAGACAACTGAGGCCCTGGAAGGTAGGCCAGCTCCAAGAGCGCAGGAATGACAACCATCAGGGCATTGGGAACAGCACGGCTGGTTGGGCTAGGGACCTACTGCCGGTGCAGGATGCGCCTCCCCCGCCCCACTGGCCCTCCAGTTGCTTGTCCACACCAGGCCACTGGAGCGCAGCTTTGGAGCTCACAGTGTAGACTCCTGGCCAGACCCTGACTGTGTACCACTCTCAGGAAGTCACTGCCCTTCCGTGGATCTTGGTTTTTTTGCTAGGAAATCCCAAACCTTCTCCCAGGGTGGGCAGATCTGGCAGCCTGGCTCCCCCATGCCCAGGTTTTCCTTAATGATCAAGGCCTCTCAGGACCCCAGGCTTCCATTGTGAAGCCAGGGCATGGGGGAGACTAGTATGTGCGTGGGCACATCCACATGGGCACATGTGACCATGCTGGCTCCCCACCTGCCCTCTCACTCACAGCCACACGCACACGCAGCCACCGCACACCCAAGCTGCCAGCTCTGGGAGCTGGGGGCGGGGTGGGTGCCCTTCAGGCTCAGAAACTCAGCTCCTCTGCCCGCCCCTCGGGGCTCACTGCAGATGCCAGGGGTTATTTTAAGCCTGGATCAATGGATGATTTTTGGTGACACAGGCTTAGGGGGGCTGGCAGAAGAGACAAGGGACCTGTGCTCTGGAGTCTGCTGTGATCAGCGCCCTCAAAGTTCATGGCAAAGGGGGTCATCCCTCTGCTGGGCTGTGCCATCACTAGATCCCCTCGCCCAGCACATAGCTGGGCACGCTGGTGGGGCAGGGAGCAGTGTTGGCCACATAGATGCTCCAATCCAGGACTTGGAGCAGTCAGGCAGTGTGTCTGGGGCTATTCCTCCCATCCCAACTCCCCCAGGGCCACATGTTCATAGAGAGGGTGCTGAGGGCCTGGCACAGACTGGGTAGATGTGGACACTCATGGTGGCCCTGCTGCCCACAGAATCAGACCACGATGGAGGAAATGAAAGCTGTGTGTGGGGTGCAGTCCAGCTCCTTCACTAGACAAATGGCTGTCACTTTGCAGGACATGATTGGCACTGACATGGGAAGATGCTGCCAGAAGGCCCAATGTCAGGAGAATGGGAATAAAAAGAGCCAGGGGGGGGACAGAGTTTAGGGAGAGCATCAGGCTGGAGCGGTTGGGTCACCCTGCCAAGGAAGAGGTCACAGCTCTGAGGAGCAGCGTCAAGCTTAAGTCCAATGCCAGTAACATGGAAGGGGTGGCCAGCCCCAGAGCCTCTGTGACCCGGGGAGCAGGCAGAAGAGGACCCTGGGGCAGCCATCCCATTGCCAAGAAAAGCCAGCTCAGGCCTCTAATTTCTGTAAGAGAGAATTTGGGCACCCTGGGGTCCTCTCTGCTCCCCTTTCCACCCCTCTTCCCAGACCACTGGGATCCGATTATAAGTGGAGGAGATGGAGGAGGAAGAGGAAGGATTTACATGTTAAGGAGGATCAAGTCCTCTGTCGCCTTACTGGAGGGCCTGGCAGGCTAATTTCAGATATGAGTGGCTAAGGTGGGAAGGAGGGCACCCTCCTCCCTGCCATGTCTCTTCTGTCCCTCCATAGGGCACGTACATCCCACCCAACTGCAAGACCCTGTCCCCTTTCCATGACTTTCCTTGTCATGGTTTTGAAGAAAAAATGGATGAGCAAAGGAATGGGTGAAAAGTGCCTTAATCCCATCAACAGAGACAACCACCCTGCAGGCGCCACACTCTACATCCTGTTTTGTAACTGGTTTTTAGTTTGTGTTTTGCTATCCTTCCATCTTTCATTTGTTTCTGTTTGAAACTTCATGGCTGGACTCTGCAGCTTTTTTAGGGGCTTTTCTTGGCTATTAATTGGCATGCTGGTCCTTATGCTTCCTCCTGATTTCCCCATCTGAACAGTGAGGGTGTCATATTGACCCTTACTGTGTAGAAGCAGATTACCAATCTGCTATTGAGGAAGAGTTTACTTTGGAAGTAAAACATGTTGCCTAGGCTGATTTGCAACTATTGGGCTGAAGAGATTCTCCTGCCTCAGCCTCCCGAATAGCCAGGATTTACAGGCAGGAGCCACTGCATGGGCTCGAGGAAGTATTTGATAGAAACAGGAGAAACTGAAGGAGGGAAAAAGCCAGGTGCTGTGGCATAACCCGAACTGAACTCGGAAAACATGGCGGAGCCACTCCCTAGGCCAGGGCCAAGTTCCAACCCTCTCCTCCTTCCCCGACTTCTGAAAGGACTTGGGTGTCACCCGGCCACTGTCCATGGCACAGCCCCTGTCTTTGCTCTTCGAAGGCCGAGTCTGGCCTAATTTCCACTCTTTGGCGCTTGGGGAGGGGAGTAAATCGCAGGAGGCCGGCGCAGCGGGGTTGGAGCAGCCTGGGACCCCAGCCAGGTGCCCGCGCCCTGGGGTGAATCTGCGCTGAAGATGCAGCCTTACCCCCCTGCACTGTCTCGCGAGGGGTTCCTTCCCAGAGAGGGGGCTTGGGGGGTCGAGGAGAGTGGAGAGGCGCGGGCCCCCTCGTGGGAATTAGACCGGACACGGAGGGCCGAAAGGCGGCGCGAGTGGCGCGGACTGTCGGGGCTGCGCGCCCGCCCCGGCCCTTCCCGGCCGC